CATAATAGCTATAAGCTACACCCCCTTTTAACAGGCCACAAAGACATGCGAATGACATAGTCAGCTGTTGCAATATGACCCACTTACAAACCTGCTTTGTCCTGATGTTGATTACAAATCCTTTTTTTTTCAAGCCTGCTAAAATATTTATCCCAGTTGGTATCTGTCCTGGATCTGAAATGATTTTATGCATGTGTTGTTGTTTTAAACTGTTTTTATATTTATGGTTCTTTACAAACAAATGATTTTATATGCAGTTGTTTTTAACTGTTTTTTATATGTAACTCTTTTATTGTAAATTATTTTGAGATGTCTCATGGGAAGCAATTAATAATAATAATAATACTGAAATTTTATGACAAAGACGTGGAATGCTGCTATCTGGCATACCTTGCAAAGTCCAGTGTACTTCTTCATATATTTGGGACTTGCAGAGTGAATTACAGAGTTGGAGGAGTCTTCAAATATCATCTAGCCCAATTCCTTTGCTCAGGTCAGGATATATATTAATACAGCATCCCTGATCGGCTTTAAAAAAAAACAATAACGAAGGTCCACCACCTTCTGAGGCAGCCTGTTCAGCTATCAAACATCTTGAACCAGAGCAAGTTCTCTCCAATGTTTAGTCCCATCCGTTTTCTTTCCTTTTCAACATGTTAGTTTGGGCCCCATTCTCTGGAACAACAGATGTTGCCTCTTCATCTTTTCTAGGCTAAGCATATCCAACTCCTTTAACCTTTCCTTGTACGACTTGGACTCCAACCTGTTCACCATTTTGCCCTCCTCTACTGATCAGTTGGTTGGCTATATGTTGGGCTTAGTATACCACTGGGCCATGGTAACGGAAACTGAACAAACAAGTAATGGTGCTCTAGCCCAGTGTTTCCCAAACTTTGGTCTCCAGCTATTTTTGGACTACAGTTCCCATCATCCTAGCTAGCAGGACCAGTGTTCAGGGATGATGGGAGCTGTAGTGCAAAAACAGCTTGACACCCATGTTTGGGGAACTCTGCTCTAGCCACCCTCACTGGAGCTCTCCAAACTGCAGCAGCTAAATCTGAATAAATGTGAGCCATTTTACAGTAGGCTACTGAAGGCTATGGTTTCCCCAGTAGTGATGTATGGAAGTGAGAGCTGGACCATAAAGAAGGCTGATTGCCGAAGAATTGATGCTTTTGAATTATGGTGCTGGAGGAGACTCTGGAGAGTCCCATGGACTGCAAGAAGAGCAAACCTATCCATTCTGAAGGAAATCAGCCCTGGGTGCTCACTGGAAGGACAGATCGTGAAGCTGAGGCTCCAATACTTTGGCCACCTTATGAGAAGAGAAGACTCCCTGGAAAAGACCCTGATGTTGGGAAAGATGGAGGGCACAAGGAGAAGGGGACGGCAGAGGACGAGATGGTTGGACAGTGTTGTCGAAGCTACCAGCATGAGTTTGACCAAACTGTGGGAGGCAATGGAAGACAGGAGTGTCTGGCGTGCTCTGGTCCATGGGGTCACGAAGAGTCGGACACGACTAAATGACGAAACAACAAACTGAAGGCATAATCAATAATAGCATCATTGGTCCGGGCAAGGCTCCTATCAACCTTAATATGAGCTCACAAAAAAACACCCACTTTATACCTTGAAAATGTGCACCTACTCCTCCAGAAGTTGAGTCTTTTTCTTTTTTAAAAAAATATCCTGCTTGGAAAGGGACTAGAATTACTGCAACTAGGAAAAAGATTTCACTCGTCAATTTTTTCTCTATCTAATGGCGGTCATTAAATGTCATGATGGAAGCTGTCAATGAATAAAAATGTGGAAGTGAAAGAAAAGTGAGAGCTGATGCTGACAAGTTACGTATATACAGACTGTGCTCCTGACGAGACACAGGACTCAGCTCAGCAAATGGCTCATAAAGCTCATTTATCAACAGGACAGTAAAATAATTCCACTGCGGCAATTGTAACTGGCAAAAACTGAGTCGCTCTATGCAGAGAAAGGTCTACTATGGTAAGTGGGAAGCTTGTTTGCAGTTGAGGTTGCAGACACCGCTGCAATATAATTGTACTTTATTACGGTCATTAAATAGTTAGGGTCTCTTTCCCTTGCAGCAAAGCTTCTATTGGTCCAAAAGGAGACATTCACCATGGGCTAGTTATTGTTTTTGACAGATGATAATCTTTTAAAGGTACAGGAGATTAAAGTTTCTGTGTGATGAAAAGCACACAGGGGAATAATTTGTAGCCAGTTACAAATATTGATTAGTCCTTTCTACCTACTCCAAACCATCTCAATATTTCAGGAAATGCTAAATGGGGTAAAATAATGGAGCCAGTATATGCAAATCAGAGACCCGGTCAGCAGCTTCGCATGTCACTGCAAAAAGAAAAGATCAGTGCTCAAGATGAGATTATCACACTGCTTCTACTTGAGGAAATATAAGCAATGGGAACAGAAAACATCTTGAGCAATGATCCCAAGCTAAAAGTTTAAATATTCTAGCATTATGTTTCTGGTTTTTTTTCTGAGTTGTAAAGAAAAGTTAGCAATAACTGTGCTTTTAAAAACTCACTTCCATTCATTTCAACGGGGTTAATATACGCTGGAGCGGGAGCTTAGTTAGACTGTTGCAACGGAAACAACAAAATACTTGTTGTACCTTTAGACACAGCTGGAGCAACCCAAAGCTTCCTTGCGCTGGGCAGGAGAGGTGAGTTGGATTAGGTGGAAGTGTTGCTCTGCCCAGCTTCCCAGCTAAGCCAGCCTCATGCTCCACTGACCTGCCTCCACCTGCTGAATGTGGGGGCCTGCTGGTGAAACCCCAACCAGCAGAAAGCCCCAAAAGAGGGGCTGGATCTAGACACATCAAAGTAGCGATTCAGTTAAACATGTTGTAAATTCATACAGGGAAATCTGGTAGGGAAAGACGGGACTCCACAGCGCCATCTGGTGTCACAGTGTTATATCGCATATACAACAAATATAAAACACCTTTTCTTTACCAATCTAGCTGAGTCCAGGGTATTCCAAGGGCAGGGCTGAGCCAGCCTGGGACTCACTGAATCTTGAGTCAGTCTCCCATGTCTTTCTGCAATTATCTGTGTTAATGGGAGAGGATTTGCTTCAACTGCCCTTGTAGACACTGCTATAATTCTCTTCAGTATAGCCATTCCTCAAGGTTTCGCAGAACAAACGTTTGTAGCTATGATTTGAGGATGTAAGGCTTGCTCACCCCACCCCATCCTCCGAAGAACATTTCCCTATTTTGTAAACTTAATACATTTGTGTTTTTGTACATTCATGGTGATGTCCACTGTGGAAATTCTGCTTCAGAAAGAGCGCTCTCGTTTGGCAAAAAGACATATTACCCCAAAACCTCTTTGTGAAAGGTCTGTTAATAATAAAGAAAGTCATTTCATAAAAGTGGCCATATTTTGCAATAAATTCCTTTCAGTGAACTAATCAAAAGGAAATACGAACACATTCTAGGGGCGCAGGCTAAGTTTCCTTTGGAGGGGTAGAATTCTGCACTGTGATCAGATTTCTATAGGCTAAATTTAATTCAGAGTGGTTTGAATTTTTTCTCCTTGTAAAAAGTTGAACCAAATATGGAAACATAAAGAAAAGTTGTTTGGTGCATCTATTAACTGATTCTTGCAGAACACACAATCACACTTCCAGAAAACTATATGTTCCATTGCCACAGTTTCCATGAAACGTGTAAAATCTCCAACAACCTTTGACCACAGTACCCACGTTTCTTGTTCCACAGCACACTGAAGACTTTTTTAAATTTAACTTCCTAGTTCCCACATCACTCACTTTAATAGCCCAGCCTCTGATACTTTCTCATTTATCAACTGATCATCTGTCATACGGAATAGCACTGTCTCCAATCTTGACAAACACACATGCCCTACCAAGCCCACCTGGACTTTGTCACTATTGGAAGTCTCCTTAAAACATGAATTCAACGTGGGCTATCTTCCCTTAATTCTGTGCAATTTGAATGTATATGGAGTTGCAAATCTGAGGGGAGTTTTGTTTTGTTTTTACTGAGAGAAAGGCATTATCTTACCCTTTTGACCAGCTGAATATTATACATATTATACAAAGGAACTATACAATGAAGTATAAATTAGAGGTTCCTGTGATGCTGTTAAAATAATGCACAAAGATATATAGACATATTCAGCTGAGTTTTCCCATTTTAATTCTTCACATATGTCCTTGCTAAGTCAGAATCCAGAAGTAACATTGATGAGAACAGTGATTTGCTCCCAGTGGCAGCTGGTGCCTGTTTGAACTGGTGGCAGACAGGGATGCCAACAACAGGTGGCGCTAAAGCCAATGACAGATAGAATCAATTAATATCATCCCCATCCGCCTCCCTGCCAAGTCCTATATGGGCAAAACTGTGTCTAACTAAGGGGAAGGAAGTTAACAAGCAGTGCCGCCACCTGGAATGATAAGTAAGAAGGGAGGCAGGTGGTAGCTGGCTGGGGGCAGACTAAGGTTGATGGGGCAGGACCCCATTTGCCATAATGGCCCAGCATCCACTGGTGTTTTCCCCAACCCCTTCAGTCTCTCCTTTGTTCCTCAGATGACCATAGGCCAGGGATTGGGAATGATTATGTTTCATAATGGGCAAAAAGGAAACTTGTGCCTTTTGCAGAAAGGGAGGAATATCCACTTCCATTTCTTTTTCATTTCAATATTGAGGTCTTGCATAAGTGATATTTACCCAACTAAGAGTCACAAAGAGGTCTTGCACAAGACCTTGGCATTAAAAAAACAAAGAAAGAAAGAGGAAAAGAAAGCAACACATCAGCTATGATTGCAGTCCCTGAGATAGTCCCCAGTATATACCATATGGAGGCCTTGACAAACACAGCTGGGAGGAGCGCAGAGAGAAGAAACATCATAGTACAGGCATGGCCAAACTTGGCCCTCCAGCTGTTTTGGGACTACAATTCCCATCATCCCTGACCATCCTGTTAGCTAGGGATGATGGGACTTGTAGTCCCAAAGCAGCTGGAGGGCCAAGTTTGGCCATGCCTGTCATAGTCCACCTGCAGCAACTCAACCAGACACCTTCATCTGCCCCAGCTGCAACAAAACATGTCTCTCCCGTATCAGTCTCTACAGCCTCTACATCAGGCACTGCAACCTTCCAACAGTTTGACTTCACCCCAAAGGCTCACTCCTCCATTGTCTCCTGAGAGAGACGTATGCCAACAACCCTGATCTTAGATATTTCTGCCAACATATAGGGCATTTCTAATGCTACATTCTGCATAGGATCCACATCACTGTTAGGTGTGTTCTTTCCTAAGCACTTAGGTGAAAGCACAACAAGTCTCAGAAATGAGCTGTTTATTACCATGGTAATCTGATTTTTAAATGTGTCCCTTTTTTGAACCAAGGTAAGACTTTAATTAAAGTACCACACTTCGGAAATAAAGCATATGTTAGCAGTTCCATGTTAGAATGCTCTGGTTTGATGTGTGTTGGCTTTCTTAATAAGACTTCAATAGATCTACTTAGATTCTTTACTTGGAATGAACTTGGGATTTTTTTAAGCCGCTGAAAACCCAGTAACCGGAATGTTGTGGTTCTTGTTAAACCTATTCCCAGGAGGTGGGTGGGGGTGTGTCTGGTTAATGTCCAATGTAGCAATTAGTGACGGCTAACTTACGATGTGGTAAAGGAAGCAATACAACTAAGATAACACTAATAAACTGCACAGCTTGGTGTTCTGCAGAAACTTATTTTTAAAATATAGTGAGAATATTTGTGAGTGTAATCACTTACTGTGATATGTATTTACATCTCATGAAAGTAGATATTTTTCATTAAATGCACATAAGGCTAATAAACCTCTGATTTGTACAGCCAATCCCAGCAAAGAGGTCTGTTTGGTTCCCCCCTGACCCAACAAAAAGATGGCTTCAGTGATAAAATGCAAATATCTGAATTGTTAACAAAATATTTCTTTCGGTGATGGCTGTCATGGTGTTGAGGAGTTCTTTAAGAAGCATTAGACCATGGAAATATGAACACAGACTTCACACTTTTTAACACTTTCTTGTGAGGCATATGAGCACATTGTTGCTCTCTTCACAGAATGAATGTGGAAGATTTGAACTTGCCAGACCTTGTAGATGACCAGGTTGCAGCTTGGCCATCCACAAGGGGCTTTGCTAGATCATTTACACGAGAGGCACCAGCAAACTCAAGGTAACCCTGAGGCTTAAAGATACCCAAAAAATCTGTCTCTGAAACCCCTTTCAGAGGTCAATGGCACAGAAAGTTGTGAGACTGAGAAGGGGAAAAGGGTAGACAACCTGTTGGAAGGAGAAATGGAAAGGCTAGAAAGGGAGGGAGAGAATATAGGTCTTTCCATATTTTATATGTCTATTCCATGGTCTGAATAGATAACTTCCTGTTTAATGCCGGGAAGCTACTCTTAAATGTGCCCAGGGACAGATGTGAGATATGTCCATAAAAATCAATGGAAAGAAAACCAAAAATTTTAAGATAATTCAGGTTGGGTATAAGCATGTCTTCTTCTGAAAACCTGCTAATGGAGAAAAATGCCCTCAACCAAATGATAGTGCGAACTGAATGTGTTCAGGATTCTGCCTATTGGGACTGACTAAACAAGGGACAAGGGGAATAGAATGGAGTGGTCGAAACTCTGAAAAGACGTACTCCACACAGCAACAGTTATGTTGCAGGGGTCCACTTACGTATTACGTAACTAAGGTTCATAGAATGACTTGAATAAGGTGGGCTTCCTATCTATACCTCAGTGTAGGGGCCTTGTTGAGAGCTCAAAGGGCCCAAAGCTCTGGTCTCTCTTCTGGCCCCTGAATCTTCCTGCCCCTTCCTCCTCACTCTGTTTACCTACCTACCTACCTACCTATGCCAGAGGCATCCCCACTGGTGATAGCTCACCAGTGATAGCCCTGAAATGAGGCATTTGTGAAGCAGGAAGGAGGCAGGACAGGGCTGGCACAGGATCCACTTGATCCTGTGCAGACCCTGCTACCATCACGTGACATCAATGGGCCCAATCCAGGCCTCTTTGCTGTATTAACCTTGGGTGCTGCAAAGCAGCTTTTTCAAAGGCTGTGCATGGGAACCAATTCAGTCAGCCTTGGATTTTGACCACATTGAGTTGCAGAAATGCTGGATAGGTCATGTCGACCCACGTAGAGTGATTTAGAGCTGTCAAAAGATGGGGCAATCGGGCAGTGGAGGGGAGGGAGAAGAAGAGGCTGGCAGCAACCTATTTGGTGGAAAGTAGCATAACAGTTTCACCCTACCCGGTGAGCAACTTCTGTATAAAACTGCTAAAGCCAAATTACTGTTGCAATTTATGTTTGTAGCCCCTGAACCCAGTTATAAAAAAGATTAGTATAACTGGTTCAAACATACGTGCTACTTATTAATAGCTTTTAATTTTAGCTCCTCTAATGCAGCTTTTCCTTATTTTTGTAGCCCTGTGAATTGATTTTGAATAAAGCTCAAGCATTAAATACATTACCTTACAATTTCCGCTCCCAGAAAAAGCAAAAGAATTAGTACAGTGGATTCCCACCTGCCCTTTCCACAGAAGAAAAAAGCTTTTAAGCAACATCTTTTTAAAGGCCTGAAAATAATTCACAGGCTTAAAAAGCTTGCTTAGCATGGTGTCTTTGCATTACTACTCCACAAGCAGAGTGATTTTAAAAAGCAAAACAAGAATAGCATTTTGGAAACCCCTCCCCAGTTTTGGCAATATGCTGGTGGAAATGGGAAATGAAAACAAATCAGGCTTATTCAAATGCTTTTAAGTTATTACTGATATTATTTGAAGTACTTTTTGCCACATTGTGGTACTTTTTGTGGTACAACTGTGCTGCTTTTGCCACAGTTTTAAGTCTGTGGTATTTATCTTTCTTTTAAGTATAACGGACTTGGTTTAATCCAAATTGTCCATTGCCCATGTTCGTCTTGGATGACCAGGACAGTGTGCAGTCTTTGTTGTTGCCCAAACTCAGAGTCCCTTGCTTACGGTAAGGATGATAACTTCCTAAAGATCTCAAATGAAAGGAAGTTACAAAACAAAGCCATGTCAAGTAGGCACATGCCCTACTGCTAAGCACTCAATCCAAGCCTATCGAAACATGTTGAAAGACAAGTCTCACAACAACAGCCAGGCAGCTCCCCCCTCCCTACAGATAACTAGTGTGAAAACAACAGATGAATGTGCATGTTCACACTTGAAGAAAAGGAAACTGAAGTTACAAAAGTCACCGAAGAACATGAGATGAAATCATCCCACTGCTAATATGTTGTTTTGTAGGCCCTCTCAACATGTTTGCAGGTTGCTACTTGCACCTCACTGCAGTACAAGGAATTGAGCTAAAGAAGCATTTGTTTCGAGGCTGCCAAGAATAACAAGCTTCCAAGGAAGATGTGATGTAGAAAGAGATCCCTTTGTTCTCTCATATGGTGAGACTACGGTAGAGCTAAGTTGAAAAAAGGACATTTCCAAGTACGGTAGTTCTACGGGAATGCAAATTCTGTGCAGGCCTCATTCCTCCTGTAGGTCTGACTTGCAAGCAGAACTTTCTGGGTCATCGGAGAAAATGTTGTAAGGCAATGATAGGCACAAGACATAAGTGCCCTTTTCTGCCTTCAAAAGAATGCATGCGAGCATCAAATGTGAAGGGGGAGCAAGTGTTACGCTCTCACCCACAACATGACCAGGACTGTATTCACACGACAGTTCATTCCAGTGCTGTTTTTCTAGAATGCCTCCCTCGTTCTCTTAGAATGGCAATGGTGTCTACCTAAGAGGCTGCTGAAAAAAAGCCCTGGTTCATTCTATTTTCCAGCCATTTCTCTAGCTGTTAATTTCTGCATTATTTTTAAGCTTTCACACAGCATAAAAGCCATTTCAAGGAATATAGTGCAAGTTTAACACTCATTTCCATGTCGTTTGCTTCCAGGAGAAAAATATGTAAATAACAGTTAGGGAAACATCAGGAAAACAACACACACTACTGTGTGAATGCAGCCTAGCACTAGAGATGGAGGAGAAATTCAATTTTGTATGCATGTCAATGAAAAACTATATAATGTGCACTTCTCAAACCAATACATGAAGTGAAATAGAGGCATCTCTTTATTTGCACGAAGGTTGAGTTCTAGGTCATTGTGAGCATCGGCAGAGCACATGTAAGCCTGCCCCATTCCACCCCTGCCCCCCTTCGGGTCAAAAATGGTACACACGTTGGTGGTCATGTGCCAATCTAGCATGCACAAATAGCCTGTACAGCTATCCTTCAAAAGTCACACTTCTCCAAATTTTGCAATTCAGTTCTTTAACAGAACAATATGTACAGAGCGTGCATAAACAGGCATCTATTGGTGAAGATAATGCATTCCTGCACACTATGTTGGGGAATTGCTTGCAAACATATGTATATTAGGAGAAATTGGGACTAAAATGTTGGTGAATTTTCATGAGGATTTTTTTTAAAAAAAGAAATTGCAAACTGATGGGAAAATATACAGCACTGAACTTAAGACTGAAAAAGAAAAGAAAAGAGAGAAACCGAGAGAAAATGAAATTGACAGATTTGCCCATCCCAATTGGGTGCACTCCACACTTCACCTCCACTGGAGCTTCTCACATTGAGTGGAAAGGTCTGAAGAGGCCATCTAACCTCATTCAGCTGATTGAACCAAGGCATCTTTTTTGTGGCTGGGAACTGTGATAATGCAGGATTCCCATTCATCGGGAGGTGTCTAAGTAAACCTAGCCAAACATGGCTTCACTGATAAAATGCAAATACAGTGGTACCTCGGGTTACAGAGGCTTCAGGTTACAGACGCTTCAGGTTACAGACTCCGCTAACCCAGAAATAGTACCTCGGGTTAAGAACTTTGCTTCAGGAGGAGAAGAGAAATCGCGTGGTGGCAGCAGGAGGCCCCATTAGCTAAAGTGGTGTCTCAGGTTAAGAACAGTTTCAGGTTAAGAACGGACCTCCGGAACGAATTAAGTTCTTAACCCGAAGTACCACTGTACTCCCTGCACAAAATGGGAAGGTTGAATATCGACTCTAGAGTGAGCACAGGTATTAGGGGGAGGGCGGCATGCTTGCACCCACTTTCCCTACCCACCTCAGGCTCCCACACAATGCTCTTATGAACACATGAACAGGGCTTTTAGTAAGGGCGCCATACCCCAGGGCTGGTAAATTCTGATTTGTGTAAGAATCTCGCCATCTACACTTAAATAAGAAAGACAAACAAATGTAGAAAGAGGGAGAAGCTTATTCAATAGTCCATATCCTTCAATGCGACTCTTGTAGAGCCAAACAAGATTATGAGCAGTGTTTATTCAACAGATTGTGGTTCAATTCCATGCAGTGCTCTGTCAGTAAAGAAGCACTTTAGACAGACAGCGAGGGGCAAATGAGACTTCCGAGGGGCGGCGCGAACGGCAATGGCGGTCCTCTTCTGAAAGGGAGAGGAGGCTCCGCAGAAAACGGGTCGTCCGCTACGGCGAAGCGGAGACCCACTCTGGAAAACCCCAGGCAGCAAGAGCTTGGGGTCCTGAGGCTCGGTGGGCGCCTTAAGTGACCCTCCAAACGCAGAAGGAACCTCGTAAGGGGCTCCGGAGCGTGGAGGGGGGTTGCGGCGCTGAGAGCTGCTTCACAGTCTGCGGAGTGAAGCCGCGCTGCTGCTGCCGGTGAGCGCTGATCCTTTTCCTGCTAAAACACGGATTCGGACGAAAAGCAACTTACTCGTGAGTAAAGACTGAATCACTTGAAATCAGAGACTTTATTTAAAAAAACCTTAAATTGGCTTGAACTTGGCTGAAAGCGGAGAGACGTGGAAACAGGAAGTCCGTCTTCCGCAGCCATTGAACTTGAAAAAAGCAACTAAGTTGGAGGAGTGGAGGCTGAAAGGAAGAGATTTTAAACTTTACAGATCTAAGCATCTACTGAACCTGCAATTTAAAGTAAAGACTTTAAGCTAAAGACTTGGAATTTTAACTTGCACTTGACTTTCCCCTTTTATTGGATTACAAATTAGAAGGTGAAACCCAGAGTCAGGAGCTGCCTGAGCATTGAGAAATTGAGCTGTCAGTATTGCAGATTTGGATACTGTATATTGGAACTTGCAACAATCTGAGGGTATTGAGACTTTTTAAATTTGAAACATTCTTTTTGGAGACAAATAAGCACTGTCTGTAACAAAGTGACTACTTATAAACTCTGCTAAATATTTATATTTGAAGGTTCTTGGACATTAAATTAGACTCTGAAAGACATTTTAAGCTCCCTCTAGAGGACTGGATGAAAACAGTGACTTTACATTTACATTTACTTTCGATTCCCTTGTTGTTTGCTTGCTCTGGGCCTTTCTATTCCCATGGGAAAAACTCAGTGTGACCTTGACTGATAGACAACGTTGGAATGAGTGGCACAAGGAAAAGAGGGAGAGTTAGACAAACAACTTTAACAACTCTAACCTCAGCCTCGCAGACACGTAGATCATCTGTACCTACTTTGCCCTCAGAAGTAGAACTTGAAGAAGTTGCCTTGCCACAGGCAAAAGAGGGAGAGGGTGAAGCAGAGCAGTTACAATTGGAAGATATGGCCTCAGGAGTATCTGTTTCTGTTCTAGACAAAATCTTTGAAAAATTGGAAGCTTTGGACAAGAAAGTAGATGCGCAATCAGCAAAGATTGACAAAAATACAGAATGTCTAAATAAATTAACCATACAAGTTGTACAGAATACACAAGCAATTGGACAGTTAACGGAGGCCTCAGCAGAAAATCGGAAACTGGCTGAGGATACTAGACAAAAATTGGAAAATTTAGAGCAAGAGGTAAGGCCACTCACCAAACAAGTTGGGGAACATCAGACTTATCTTTCCATGATAGAACTGCGAAATCGTGAGAATAATTTGAGGATTAGATCATTACAAGAGGCAGAAGAAGGAAATTTAACTGAGTTTTTGACCAAAGAAGTTTCCAAGTTCTGGAATTTGGAAGAAAAGGATTTTAAAATTGTGTCGGCTTTCAGACTTGGAAGATTCACAAAGAAGGAGAGGCCCAGAGACTGTTTGATTACATTGAGATCAAAGGAGGAAAGGGATAAGATTTTGGGCCTACATTACGGAAAGTCACTGGAGGTTTTGGACAGAAGAATTGAAATTTATAAAGATATTCCAAGACAACTGCTGGATCTTAGAGCCGCCTATTCTGAACTTGCTAAACTACTAAGGAGCAACGCAATTCCATTTAGGTGGGAATTTCCACAAGGAATATCTTTTACCTTTAAAGGGAGAAAGGTCAAAGTTAGAACATTGGAAGAGAGAGACAAATTTTTGGCTACATACGGAGAGGACCTTCAAAAGGAATCGAATTACCTTCTGGGCCTGGGGCAAAGCCAGTATCAACACCAGCACCTGGGGAACCTGAAGATCCAGAGAAGACACCACCCCTGGAGAAATAACCAGATAGATCCAGGATGTCTCTGCAATTGCTGAGTTGGAACATTAATGGTTGTAACATTCCGGAAAAAGGAAGAAAATATTTCATATATTAAAAAAGAACAATTGGACATCATCTGTTTACAAGAAACACATGTGACGAGGCTCCACAGAAAAGTGTTAATAAATAAAAGATTGGGCCAGGAATTTGTTTCGTCGGACAAAGTTAAGAAGAGAGGCGTGGTGATATATGCAAAGAGAGCCTGTCACCTAAATTCTTATTTAAAGATGAACATGGAAGAATTTTGGCCATTGAGATACAATATCAAGGAGAGAAACTGTTGATATTAGGAATCTATGCACCTAACGAAGGGAAATCGGAATTTTACAAGAAGCTGCAGGGGACAATGCTGGAATATCTGGATTACAACAACATCATAATGATGGGAGACATGAACGGGGTCGTGTCAACTAACATGGACAAGTCACAAAGTCAAAATGTTACAAAAGACGGCAGACTACCTAAAACTATTATTGAAATGACTGACAATATGGATTTGATTGACATTTGGAGGACAAAGAACCCACTAGGTAGAGAAGGAACATTCTTTTCTGAAGCCCAACTGACCTGGACAAGAATCGACCAAATATGGATTTCCAGAGGCCTGGCACCTAAGGTCAGAAAAGTGGAAATCTGCCCAAAGACCTGCTCTGACCATAATGCAGTAAAGATGGATATGACACTACTACCAACTGGATCCTTTAGATGGAAGATGAATGACAATTTGTTTAGAGATCAGGAAATTACCAAGAAGGCCCAAAAAGTTTTGAAGGACTATTTTGAGATAAATATGAACAATTCGGTGGAAAAAAGAATTGTCTGGGACGCAAGCAAAGCTGTAATGAGGGGATTCTTGATACAACAGAATGTAGTAAAGAAAAGAACACAAAATGAGAAAAAAGATAAAATCTTGGACAAATTAAAAGAATTAGAGAAGAAATTAAGAGCGAATCCAAAGTCACAGCCAACTCTGAGAGAAATTAAACTCTATCAAACACAATATTCTAAATTGATAAATCAGGAAATTGAATGGAAGGTTAAATTAATGAAACAAAAACGTTTGAGTCGGCGAATAAATGTGGAAAACTGCTAGCTTGGCAGTTGAAGAGAAGACAAAGATTAAACACGGTTACAAATTTAGAGGTTGATGGAAAAAACATTCAGAATCCAGTGGATATTAGAAAGTGTTTCCAGAGATATTTTAAAAATTATACACCCAAGGGCCGCAAGACGAAGTTGAGATTAAACAATTTTTGGCAAAAATGGACTATCTAAATTGTCACAAGAAAATAGGACAATCCTGAACTCTAAAATAACACGACAGGAGATTGAACAAGCTATTCAGAACATGCAACTTGGCAAATCTCCAGGGCCAGATGGGCTGACCTCCAAGTATTATAAGATATTAAAAGACTATTTGATACAACCCTTGATGGAGGTCAGCAATGAAATTATCGAGGGAGGAGGGCACCGGATTCGTGGAAGGAAGCGTTCATCACATTAATACCAAAGTCAGAAGCTGAAAAGACACAACTGAAGAACTACCGTCCCATCTCTCTTTTAAATGTGGATTACAAAATATTTGCAGACATTTTGGCAAGTAGATTTAAAAAGTATTAAATGAAGAAATTCATAAGGACCAGGCCGGTTTTCTCCCAGGTAGACATCTGTTTGCTAACACAAGGAACATTATTGACATCTTGGAACTTCTGCAAACAGATATAAATACAAAAGCAGTTTTAATTTTTATAGATGCGGAGAAGGCCTTTGACAATATTTCCTGGAAATTTATGATGGGAAATTTAAAAGAGATGGGAGTGGGACGGGGTTTTGAGAATGGGATTGAGGCGATATATTCAGAACAGAAAGCTAAACTGATAGTTAATAATGTGGTTACAGAAGAGTTTAAAATTGAAAAAGGGACACGACAAGGTTGCCCTATTTCCCCTTTGTTATTTATTTCGGTTCTGGAAGTGCTACTGAACATGATTAGAGGGGATCGGTTGGTGGAAG